GGGACCGGCAACGGGATCGCAACCCTCGGCGTTGCTCCCGCGCCGCGCTCAGCCAGTGAGCGGGAGCCGGTCTATATGTGGGATCCGAACCCTCGGGCGGGAGCGCCGCCGCGCTTCCCAAGCGGCGCACTATCCAGTGCGCCACCGGGCCGGCCCGTTTCTCCCATTTTTATAGCAGCAATTTATTAGTAATTTTTCTCTATCTAGTTCTTAGATTATTTTGTTTTGCCTGAATCCCCAAATTACCCCCACTTGGAGAGGAAATTTGGGAGCTGTTTGAAATTATATTCTCTAGCTTCAGACAGACAGCTCAGTGGCTGAGCGACCCTCACAGAGTCTTGGTTTCCTCACCTCTAAAATGAAGGTGATACCAGCACCAACCTCAGAGATCTCCACGAAGGTAATCAGATACCGAGTGTAACATACTTCACAGAAACAGCTCAATGAGGAAAGAGTTCCACTGTCACCTAAGCCAGTGTCGCTTTCTGCATCCTGGGTGGTTAGGCTCCTTATGTTTCCAGCTGTTGTGAACAGAGGTGCCTGTTGCACCTCCATTTTTTCCATAAAATACTGCAGTCTGTTCCACCCACCCCATAAAGAAAGGTCCTTGGACCGTGAACATGTTAACAGTTTGAACATAAGTGGAGTTGGCAGCAACATCAGCCTTTTATGGTCTGGCCAACCCCTTTTCCTTCTAGATGTCAGAATGACAAATAATCCTGGTTTGCTCCTGGGACCTTTCCTTCCCCAGGCTTTGAACCCAGACGCCGTGGTCCCTCGGTGATGCCCGCATCTTGTGAGTAGCATCTGTGATTGAGTGTTACAGGAATGGCAGTGTCCCCCTTCCCTGAGCCATTCATTTCCTTTTGTCATGTGCAGCCTCTCTAGAAGAGGACACATTCTTCATCTGTAGAACACTTTTGTGGTTTGAACCAAGGAATCAGTGAGGATCTGAGGACAGAGAAAAGATCACCTCTCTACTCCTGGGAAAGCACTTTTGTTAAATAAATTTTACTCGGTGGACAAATGCCTCTTCATGATATACAAGCTGGAGAACCTTGCCCTGGCTTTTGAAACATAGGGGAGGGTCTCTGTCCCTTGGTTTCCTGCCATTACTGTCAGCTCAGTTGTAGACTTGGTTTTGCATTTATGCTTTAGTAGATTTGGATTAGTGATGGCTTTATATCTTATTACAGCAAAGGAAGCATCCAAAGTATCCATTACAACAATAAGAAGCTCTTTTATAAGCTAAATAGAAATCAATTGAAATGCCTATTTAAAATGTTATTAAAATGCCTGTAATTTAAAATGTTATTTTAAAGCCATGTTATGAACTAATGTTTTAATTGACACAGTTATATACATGTCACAAATACCACATTTTTTGCCCTTCTCATATGTGCCTGGCCCTGCACTATGCATGTAAAATGCACCGACTCATTGTGTCCTTAAAACCCTATGCAGGAGGATCACTGTGCCCACTTTACAGATGAGAAAACTGAAGCTTAAAAGGTTAAAAAAGCACAGCTAGCAAGTGGTGGAGGCTGGATTCCAATCAAAGTCAGAATCCCGCCCCCCCGCAAGCCCATCCTGTAACCAATGTGCTCTCATGCCTGATACTTTTCAGGGATATCCAGTATGGAACTGTATGAGAGAATGACACTTTTCTTACCTGTTTTGTGTCCTTTTCACAGTGATAGTAAAGCATTTAGAATATTTAAGTGTCCACTGTTGTCCAGTTACTTTGAATTTCTTACCTTCACTCCTTTTTGTAATTGCTCGTATAGTTGGACTTCTCACAAAAAACAGAAGCTGAGCTGCTAGTTGCTATGGCGTATTATTAGCACGGAGCTCCCAGGGTTATGCCTTTTGTACATGTTCAAACCAGGGCTCTCTGATGTGCAAGATGCCCTCCGTTAGGAACACTCTTCCACCAAATATCACTTCGTTGAGGTCTCTTCTCAAATCTCACCTCTGAGAGGATTTCCTCATCGCCTTCCCCAATATAGGGGCACACCCTCCACTCTCTACTCCTTTATCCTGTTCAGTTTTCTTTCTAGTGTTCTCATAGTTACTGAACATGATAGTATATGTTTTCATGCTGGAACGGAAACTACTTGAAGATGAAGACTTTGCTTTGTTCCTTTCCAGAGCCTGAGCTCAATAGGTATTCCTGCATAAATGACTATGGGACATTTGGAAGGATGGGGGCTCCACAAGCCACAGGGAGGCAGGGAGGTGCTCTGTTTCTTTCAGGGCACTCCTTCTGGTGGTAGGTTGGTGGAAGACGGTATTTGACAGGATATTTAGTGGCCAGCAGAAATCCTGGCCATGATAAAGCTGTATGTATAACCTCCACAGACAGTGGCCAGCAGAAATCCTGCTCCATGATAAAACTGTATGTATAACCTTTCTTCGTGTCAAAGACCATTAAAGATTTCACCTACAATCCCCTCACTACCTCCCGAAATTTCTCCCAAGTTCTGTTTTAAAGATAAAGCTCCCTCTCCCCCCAGTCACTCCGATCATTACATTATCTCTTTCTTTGGGGACTCGTTCAGACTTTGAATTGTTTTTCCTAGTAATCTGTCTTTGTGATTGGGATATGGGCTCCATCATAGTTGTCCTGGCAGAGGTTCTGTGAGCCAGGACTTGCAGAATATGTGCTCTGCTTAGCCCTCTCCTGATGTCATTTTATTTTTTTTGCATTCGAAACAAACTTGCTGCCTGAGGTATCTTCAGGATGGGCCTCAATGACCAGTTCCATGTGGAGAGATTGTTTTATTGCTTTTGATGCTTCTAAGCAGCTACATGCTTACCCTTTTGCAGAAACATCCTGCTCTGCATCCTCCACCCTCCCACACCACAAAATTCATTTTTTAAATGCAGTCACTGTTTGCACTGGATTCCTATCATCTCTCCATTTCTCCTTTTGATAGAGAAAATGTCATTATTTTTCATGAGTAAAAGACTAGCAAATCCAGATGTGTTTAGTTTGTTGGAAAGTTTGATACGTATTCTCTTGAGAATGTTAAAAAACGAAAAGGAATCTTTGTTCCTGAAAAGTTCTGACTATAATTGTGGCCTCCGGGAGAATTGCCGTACCCACTTGTGGACAAGGGCTGGACCTCAAGGCCAGTTTTGTGTCATTGCTGCTGGTGGTCTGGCACTGTTGCTTTGCTCTCATGGATGACTGCACTGTAACTCAGTTTTTTCTTTTGCTGCTATTTCAGGACTTAATACCTTCACCACTTACCAACCCTTTAGTAGCTGCATGTTCTTAGGCAAGTTACTTAGCCTCTCTCTGAGCCTCCAATTCCTTAGCTAATAAATGATGCACTATCTTCTTGCATATACCTGGGGGTATATATGTGATTGTATACACGTGCACATACACACTTGCACA